TCTTGTGTCTGCAAGGATCTTCTTTTTGCTGCTGGTATTAGACAAAAAGTCCCCAGGTAGAGTAGGAATAGGTGACCATGCATGAGATTTTGGTTTGACAGCTTGGTGTCTCTACTGACTTCTTCATCCTTTGCTGAAGCTGGATATTGAGCTGGGAGAACTGAAGTCTAAGCATGTCCATCTCTACAGCAGGAATAGCAAGAGCCTCTAGTAAAGCTGAGGCTATTCAACCCCAAAATATCCACTGAAGTGACATCTCCTAATGACACAGCCCTTGCTGCCCCCGCCCCGTGAGCAGCAGCATCCCTGGGACACAGGTTGCCCAGCTGGGTGTCCCTGCTGTGCAGGGCTGATGTGTGGTTCAGTCTATGTGTGTTACTACAGACAGCCACCCTCCTGAGTTCAGCACTTTGGCTTTTGAGCCTGTGTCTGCAATGGGAAAACACAAAATCACTGGAGAGCGTCTGAATGCTCTGAAGTGACCTCTAGGCACAAAAAGTAACACTGGGCAGCAGCAGCCTCTGGGCTGGGGGTTTCTGCTTTTCTTCTCTGCTTCTTCTAAAATAAACATGCTCTCCATTTGCATGGGGATGCAATGGGAAGGGGGGAGTTCCCCCAGGAGCTGGTTGCTTCTGCGGTCCCATTGCTTGAGCATTAGCTGCTTCCTGGGATTTTGGGGTTGCAGGGCTGATGCTGATGAGCTCGGATTGAGGTAAAGCAGTGGCCTTGTAAAGTCTGGCCTGCAGCAACAGCTTCAGCTGCCTGCCCAGTCAGCCTACAGAGAGGGCATGGGGTGGTGAGGACAGCAGGGCACATGCAACCAAGCAACCTGACGGGCTTCTTGCTGGGGCTGCTTTCATTGTCAGACATTCACCCACATCAGAGATCTGCTTCATTTCCCTGACACTCCATGCAACAGCAAACAGGTCCTTGGTGCTTCCCCTCTCCTGTATCTCACAGAGAAAATGGAGAGCCGTGAGGCTGCAGCCAAGCCAGGGGAGCAGGGAGTTCACAGCTGGCATCTCTGCAGCTGCAGCATCTGCCACACGCCCATCCCATCCTGACCTGCTGCTCCTGGCAGGCAAAGGTGCACAGCATGGGAACGCCCTTTGGTCTGGCCAAAGGCACTCGGGGGAATAGGAGAAAATACTTGAGAGAAGGATGAGAGAATCAGCCAGTCGGTCGTCACACTGGTGGCACAGCTTGCCTTTTTCTGCCAAATGCCCCAGGGAGCTCCATGGACCCTTTGGCACTTGAGCCATGGGTTATGGGGCAGACGGATGCATCTTCGTCCGCAGCAGGTGCAGCAGAGAGGGCTCCCAACACCCTGACAGGGCGTTTCTGTCGGAGCTGTGTCCTCCCTGGGATACAGGGAGCGGGACTGGGGCATTTCTGGCCTCAGCCCCACAGATCTGAAGCGCAGACTGCACCTCTCATGCTGCGGGCTGTGCTCAGAGGCATCCCACACACCCAGAGCCTGCCGGAGCAGCAGTGACCCCTGTCAGCGAGGTTCCTTATTCACCACTGATTGCAGAGCACGCATGGAATGCCTGTCCTCTGTCGTATCAGGACCTGCTGTGCCCTGTGTCAGCCGGCAGGCCGAGCCAGGGCAGAGCTGTGCGCGGGCAGCACGGCGAGGAACAAACACCTCGGCAGCCGGGAGGGATGCTCGGGCCGGCGGAGGCGGAGGGCGGCCCCGCACCGGGCGGTGACGGGGATGAAGTCAGAGACGCTGCAGTGCCACGCCGGGTAGCAGGAGAGGGTGGCAGGGGAAGAGCAGCGCTTCCTCGCAGGCGCAAAGCTCTGCTCATCAGCGGCATTGTTCCTCTTTCATTTATCTTTACAGCTGGCTGCTCCCTGCACAGAGGATGGAAACGGCGTTTCCGAGAGCAGCAGCCTCCTTGGCAGCCTGGGAGCGGAGGCGAGTGACATCGGCCACAGCAGCAACCTCCTGAGCCTTCCTGCACCTGAGCCCTGAGCAGTCCTGCTAAGGCAACCACAGGGCTCGGGAAAAGGTTGAAATGAAGGATTCAATAAATAAAACTGCACAAGCCGCAGAATTCAGGCAGGGTTTTGCCTCTATTAGCCTCAACAGGGCTTTTTATCTGGAAAAGTCCCTTTGCTCTTGCCCCGTTGAGGGCTGAATATCCACTTTACCATGGAGAGATGGTTTCAGCCACTAAGTCTCAACAGGAAGCACATGTTGGAGCTGTATTTACCGGCACTTCTTCCTTTGTAGCAGCCATTTGCATGCCGCAGGGCTCTTCAGAGCACACCCATATTCTCACCAGCAGGCAGAAATTTCCTGTTCCTGGAAGCTTTTGTGTGGAGAGACAATCTACTTGATGTGCATCGTCCTGGCTGAAGCAGGTCGTGGTAGCTTTTGCTCTGTTAACACTGCAGTGGAGAGCTGCAGGCAGGGGAAAGGACAAAGCCAGGGCAACGGAAAACTTATTTACATTGATGGATGCAATACGAGAATTGCACTTACTTCAGGTAGGAAAAGCCAAGTCATCATGTTGCCTTTCATCTGTGGCAGGGTATCTACTAGAGCTCTTGCTCCTGGGCTGATGGCACCTGAGTGGCAGCTGGTGCTCCCCTGCCCTAGCATTAACTATCATTAACTTATAAAAGCTTCCCTGGTTCTTCCAAGTGCAACTTTGCAGCTCAGGTATTTTTCTGAAACCTGCTTTAGAAATGCCTGTGGCATAAAAAGCCCACACTGAAGGCTGAAAAGCAGTAAGTCCCCATGGAGCAGGGCAGGAGCTGGGTGTGTAGGCGTTGTCCAGCCCTGGTGCTGTCCTGCATGCTGTTGCTGTTGAGAACTGACATGGGATGTGATGCTGGCAGGAGCTGAGGTGTCCTCAGTGCCTTCATGCAGGAGTGAAGGAGTGAAGAAACTGGGCCTGTGCTGTGGTCCAGCAGCACAGCCTGCCCCAGACACCTGATCCTGCCACATGGAGGCAGGATGCTGGAAATGCTTCCCTCTGTCAGAGCAAGGTCTGTATTCAGCAGTGAAGGTGACATCCTGGCAAAAGGCTCACCGCTGTGATAAAGGACTCTGCATCCCAGCACAGGGGCTGCTGCAGAGGACCTCTGCTCGAGCCTGCAGCTTTCCAGCACTGCTTGGCTCCAGTTTTCAGGAAAGCTGCTGGGTTTCTGCAGAAAGCCAAGTTTCAGGCAGGACTACAGGCATGACAATACCTGGCACTGAACACTACCATCCTCACAGCTTTTCACCTCCAGCTCCCTGCTCTGTCTGCAACCATGCTGTGAAATGACCATCCTCTGGGATGAAGGAGGTTGCAGATGAGAGCCCTGCCAAAGCACACTCCTTCCAGAGTCCCAGTCTGCCCACCCAGGTCCCCATTGTTCCTCCATCTCAGGGTGGTCACCCCCCTGCTCAGGGCTGGCAGCTGCAGGCCCTGCAAATGAATGACCCCTAAAGCTCCAGCACCTGGTACCAAGGACTGGCCCCATGCTGACACAGGCTAGGAAAGAAGGGGGCTGAAATGAATGACAGGAATTATTTCAGGTCTGGAACAACCTGCCTCAACAGTGAGTGAGTGAAGAAGCCAATCTGTTTAGTTTATCTAAGGGAAAGTTAAGAGGGAACTTAGATGCATCTATAAATACCTACATGTTAGGAACATTTCTGATTGCCAAGGTCCTTCATCCTAGCAAACAAAGGCAGCAAAATTTCCTGGTGCTGGGAGCTAAACCAAGAGAAATAGAGGCTAACAGTAAAATACAGATTTTTAATGTGAAGGATAAATAATCATCAGGCCAGCCAGGCCAGGGACAAAGCAGATTCCCCATGGCATGAAGCCTTAAAATTAAAACTAGGTGCCTGTTGCTAAAGGAGACATTGCAACTCAGCCAGACATTTGGGGCTGGATGCAAGAGCTGCTGTACTTCATGGCCTGGGACAGTTAGGAAGAAAATCCCTTAAAATCACAACAAAATCTGTTCCAAATTGCTCAGGCTCTCACCCTCTCATGGGTTTTGCCCTGTGACTCCCCTGTGGTGGTGTTTCCCACCCACTGGCAAATGGAAATCAGCAGCCAAGCTCATCTTCTTGTCATATTCAGAAAACCACTGTCTTGCCCTTCAAAAACTACTAAAAATATGGTGAATGATTGAAAATGTAGAGAGAAACAAGAGAAAAGGAGAAATTAAACAGTAAGAAAAAAAAAATGGGGTATTACCCATTTTATTGCAGTCCAGAAAAAGAAGGAAAACATTTTAAAAGGGACAGAAGAGAGAGGCAGTGCAAGTTTTGTGTTTAAAATACTTTGGAAGAAGACTTAGACTTAGCAAACAAGCATTATTTTAAACTTTGCCAAGAAAAACAACATTTTCATATAATTTTAAACCTGTGGTGAGCTCCATTCTTCCTGGCCACTTCATCCTTCCCAAAAGTACATTTTGCCCTTCACTCATCCCTAAAACTCCCCTCAAATGCATAACCCAAACGATTTTCTTGCACCAAGCGGAGGCTGAGCTTTACGATGAACATCCAACTAAATGGCGTTTCCAAGTAAATAAGACAGCAGAGAAAAGCTCCCAGGAAGCTGAGGAACTGACCTGCCATTTAAGAGCTTGGAGAAAAAAATGTGGAAATCTGCAACGTGGGAGCGTGCCAGAACTGGGGGCAAGAGGGATGGGTCCGGGAGGATTTCCAGCTCCACGCAGCCTCGTAGCCTCGTTATTCCTGTGCCACATCCACCTGCCCTCCGAGCCCTGAGGGCTGACACAGGGCCACATGTGCTAAGGCAAGGGGATGATTTCAGGGCCATCCAGCCCCTGGCAAAAGTGGCAGCTTGATTTTCTGGTGTGAGCATCAGCAGAACAGCCAGGAGGACACACTGCCAGCCCCAGGGGAGAGACACACCATCCCTGCAGTGCTGAGAGCATGTGGCTCCGGTGCTGTCCCCTCAGTGCCAGCCGCTGACAGGGCTGGCAGGGCGGGAGGTGGTGTGGGGCGCATGGAGGCTCACCTGGGGCAGGGTGCTGTGAGAGCTGAGCACCAGGCTGCAGACACTGGCTGGTGCCTCTGTCCGCCGTGCTGTCACCCTCACCAGCCGTGGCGCTGTCCCCTCAGCTCTGTCCCCAGCTCCCGTGGCGAGCCTCTGCCCATGGTCCCAGGAGCAGTCCTGAAATGAGACAAGTGGGGGGCATGTGGCTATGGCAGGCCAGCTGTCTGCAGCCTCTCCACTGCTTCTGGAAGGGCCAAAATGAACTCTTCCCCGTGCAAGGGGACTAGTGCCTTTGATGGGCATCTCACCTCTCATGTCAGCCTGCCTGGCACTGGCCCCAGGGCCAGCAGGGTCACTGCAAGAAACGGTGGAGGTTTGCTGGCCCCAGACTCTGGGACTGTGCCATTGCTGGGTTGCATGTCATGTTTCAGCAACACAAGACATCTCAAACACATTTTTTTGGGGGAAAGGAGGAGGGATTTGATGGTGTCAGTGGCTTGGGCTTTGTTCAGTGCCAGGAAACCCTGTGACAGGATGCTTTTTTCATCCCCCTTACAGACAGGGCACAGTGGAAGGAGCAGGGGCACCGCTCACAGCAGCTGTGCAAGGCCCACAGTTGCTTCCCTGCTTGTTTCTACATTGATTTTTCAATGTCCTTGTTCAATCTTGGGATTCACAGACTGGCTTGGCCACAGAGACTGGTGGCTATTGCCAGCAGAGATCACTGTTGGGTGGATCAAGGCTACGGGACACCCAAAAAAACCAAAGCAGGATCCCCCGGCTTATGGCATAACAGCACTAAAAATTTGTTCCTAAACACATACTAGAGCTGCAGGTTTGACTTTAACTAGAGGGACTGGCAATGTGAAGGGAGTCCAAAAAAATGGGACTAAAGTGGTTCCTGAGTCAGAGGAACACAAATATCTCCTGCAATGATTGTGGGCTGTTTTGACCTCCTTGTTCTTGATCCCCAAGCTCCATTAAAGTTATCTTCCTTAGATGATACCATTCAGCTCCATCTTCCCTATGTGACACTTAAATTTGGAGTACCCCCAGGTATATGATGGGAAGCCAGTTCAATCTCTGGGGCAGAAAATGGTGTTTATCTGATAGGGTTATTTCACTGAAAGGAGGAATCCCTGAACTTTTGTATTTCTGCACAAGTGTATCGCTAGATTAGAGGGATCCTACAGCATCCCATGGCAGGGCAGTGAGTGGGGGATGGAGGCAGCAAGTGGGAGATGGAAAGAAGGCCTGCAAAGACACGGGGCAATTTTATTTACCTTGGTGCCTTTGAGATAACTGAGACCCTACTGCTCAATTCCTGTCTCTCCACCTGGTGCTGTATCTTTTAGAAGGCTGTTGAAAATTGAAGAGAATGCAAATAAGAGAGACACAAGTTATCTGAGAGCTGGGAAAAAATCCTGAAAAGGGAAACCTGAAAGACTCAACCTACTTCACTTATCAAAAGTGGCTGGATCAGAGAGCTGAAATGCCTCCATGGGAGACAGTGTCAGACAGGAGCAAATAATCCAGCTGCAACTGCAGAGCAGGAGCCAGAGCTGGAGCTGTTCACATTACGAGTAATTCAATTAACGCTTGTGAACCAGAGAGGTTGCCTCATTAATGAGACACGCTACGACAGAGAATGTGGGGGAACAGCCTGGATGTGAGCTGTGCAGGCTGTGGTGGCCAGCAGCCTGGGTGCACCTTGAGTCCCTCTCAGCACAGGAGTGTGCAGGATCTGGCCACGCAGCACCACGAGGGTGGCTCTTACCTCAGGTAGGTTTTGGAGCTCTCTGGGTGTGACTGTGGAACTGGGCTCACTGGACCCAAGGTGCTGCCTGGCTGTGCCATGACGTGCATCCAGGCTTGGGGATTGCACGGGTGCAGAGCGCAGCGTGAAATCATAGAATTCATGGATATCTGCAAAACAGCAGGAGAGACATCCTCAGGATCGGGAGGCAGCCTGATGCCTGACAGCAGCCTCTGTGGCATGCAGCACCTGTGACCTCCGCTCTGCCCCCAGGGTCTGAGCTCTCTGTGAGAGCCTGGCATCCTGGGAGAGGGCTCTGCTGGCCACCTGAGCTTGCTGTGTTGCCCACCGCACCTCCTCTGCAAGGTAGGAGGTGTAGTGGGGTGCCTGGCTCACCGTGCAGTGCCCATGGCTCTGGAAGGCATAGGAATGTCCATGGAGCAGTGACCACACAGTCCACAGGGACTAAGAGCAAACTCTGCTCAGCAGGATCAATCCAAAACCCACCCCATCCTGCTGTCCTCCAGGCTGTGCCAGCCCCAGACATAATTTCCTGTCCCGGCTACTCTGACAAGCCTCCTGCACCAGGCAGCCCCTGCCTGCCTACCCTCACACTCATGGGCTATTCCCTCCCCATCACAGCTCCCCACCACCCCGTGGAGGGGCTCCCTTCCCAGGGGGACAGGCAGAGAAGCCACAAGGCACTCAGTGCACAAGCTCTAAAGCTGATGACTAGAGCTCTGTTAACACCAGCTCCCTTCCTGACATCTCCCCTCTTCCCAGCTGCACACTACCACAACAGATATCAAGCACCCTCATTCTGGGCTCCAAGGACCCGAGTCTGCTGCTGTAAATCATAATGGCTCTAGAGAGAGTTATGACAATGGGGTATGCCAGCCCTCACTGCTCCAGAGACAGTAATGGGGTGAGACTGGAACCTGAGAACAGCTCCCCAGGTATAGCTCCAGAGGTGGGAGCCCAGACCCTCTCCTAGCCCAGCCAGGAGGATTTTACCCTCTTCAGGTCACACATAGAGGATTCCAGGGAGCAGAAGGGCTGCAGTGGGCTCTGCTCCTCCCTAAGGAAGCTCCCACTGCTGCACACTCAAGCAGGTGTGGGCCCCTGGCAGCCCCCAGTTATCTCCAGAGCTAGCACCTCCAGAGTGGTCAACATATCCACTGCAGAAGTGTTTAATTTCAAAAAGGAAACTACATCAAAAGTGAGAATCTGTTTTTATGAAGAAACTGAAAAGGGTAACATAAACTAGTGGGAGGCTTGGAGCCTATTTAGAGAGACCCACTGGGACATCAGAACAGACATGAAGTGTCTGGCTGGAGGACAGTGTAAAGGCAAAAGGGAGGAAAGCAAGGCTTGACTGCAGAGGAAAAGAGGCTATTGAAAATGCGAAGACATTAATCTAAACTGCTGAAGCTGCATCTAAATGAGAAAACCAGAATGGATGGTAGATGCTGACAGGCTAAAGGTAAAGCTCCAAGAGGTCGGCCAAAAGAGTTTGGTAAACGCCTTCCAAAAGCCATAAAAAAATCATAAATCCCTTCAAGCGCCTGGGAAACAGGAAGCCTGGCAGAGCCGGCAGGGCCAAAAAGTCAAGGCAGCATAAATGAGCACTTGAAGCAGGAAAAGACACAGTAGGAACCTGATATTATTTTCTGTACCTGCATCTGCTGTGGAGGAAGCTGGAGAGCTCCAATTTTATGAGTGACTGGAGGGGCAAGCTGTGGCTCTCAGCTTGAGGGGGATGTGGCCATTCCCATGGCACTCCCTGGGAGCTCATGGATAAAGCACCTGCACTTCCCTTCAGTCTATGATTTCTCACCTGAAACTCTGCCACACCATGGCACCACGAGGTATCAAACGCCCGTGTCACAAAGATTTCAACAGGAAATTTGGTGAGCACTGGCAGTGGAAGCAGGGACACACTGACCCGCTGCCTGAGGCTGGTCCCTGGCTGTAGCAGGATGCTCTGCCTAAGCAGGGGTACAGTGGGTAGAAATTTGTCTTACAGGTTCATCAGTGAAGGCCTGAGAGAGGAGGGTCTGCTAAGCAGTGATAAGATCAAGTAAGGAGGATTTGTGATTCTTAGCGCTGAAGAATACTGAGACCAGCTTGACCAAACTGTCAGATCCTACCACGAGGACATGCAAGACCTGCTCCCTGACTGGAGCTGGGAGCAGCAAGAACGTGCACTCTGATATGGAAGTGAGAGTCAGGAGTGGTGAGAAAAAGAAAAAATAGCTGCTCGCACCTTTTTCAGCACAAAGCATATTTTGCTGAATAAGTCTGATAGCACATGATCTAAAAAATGCATATGACTGACAGTCAGTCACCTTATACTATAAAAGGTCAGTCACACTTTTACACAGTGAGAACTTCCATCATACCTCCCTAAGGCATGTGAAGATCCTTCCCTTGGGTGGGGACACCCCTCATGGTCACTCCTCGAAGCTGAGTCAAAGAGATTTGCCTTTAACCTTGTTATGGGTGAGTAACATCAACCTCTACTTAGTAATTGTTTAGGTAGCTTTAATATAATTGTTTTAATATTGCTTCAAAAACAATGCACTACATTAGTAGTTACAGCTATCCATACTGTTTAGTAAATAATTCTGATTAAGCTCTTTTTTTCTCTAATACTTATAATTACTGTAATAAATTTAAACAAATCATTTAATGTATTTATATAAATACATTAGATTTATCATCCTTAATCCTGTGGGACAAAGATGTATAAAGGTTCAATTATACCTGTATAATCCTCTAGACATATACCATTGATGAAGTCTGGCGCTAAATTGGACCCAGGTTCCTCTCTGAGGATGAGTTCAGAAGGAAGAGTGTTCTTTCTTCACCTCGTGACTTAACAGGAGGGCTTTTATAATAAACTTTGTCTGAAGCTCCCACTCTGCCCATGACACCAGGGCTGCACGCCCAGGCACAATTCCCTATCCTCTCTCCTGGTGCTTAACCACGTGCTCATACCCTGCAGCAGCACATCCCTGATGCAGATGGGATGAGAGCAGCTTCAACCCCAATCTTCCAGCTCCCAGCTGACCTCCCAGCTGTAGGCTCAAAGCTGATATAAATCTCACTCGCTGGCAGACCAGCTGGGTGCCCAAGGGCAGCCCAGCGAGGCTCTGGGGCTGCCTGAGTGCAGGGAGCACCGTGCCACTGCCTGGCATCAGTGCCACTTTTGGAGCTGCTGTTCTGTGCTGCCAGGCTCTGTCCTGTGCCCTGGGAGACATGTGGCAGCTGGCAACGATGTGAAGAGTGAGTCCCCAAATGTCCCCACCACACCTGAGGCACCCCTTCTACAGCCCCCAGGCTGCTGGCAGCCCCTGAAACCCTCCCAAACCAGACACGAGGTCGCAGTAAGAACTCACTTCACAGCCAGAGAAACTGGACTTTGTTTTCATGCTAATACATCTCTCCCTCTGGTTATAAAAATAATAATTGCATAACAGGATAGCAGCAGCTTCTGGCTGCGTGGATTACGCTGGGAACACACAAAACTTTGCAAGAATGAGAACAGGATTTGAACGGTCCCATTGTGGGGGTGTGCTGCTGCTGGCATCCTCATTTGTCAGCTATCTGCTGCAGGAACAGATCCTTGGGCAGCCAAGATGGCAAGGTGCCTGAAGGGCAGGAAACTTGTTCCCTGAAGCAGCCACTCTCCACCTCCAAAACCCTCAGCCCAGTTTAGGTGCTTGCCAGAAGAGAGAGTTGTTGCTGGCACCAGGGATTAGAGGAGTTTCGGGATTGGTGGACAGGGTTCAGGCAGCAAAGGACAGAAGTACATTTTAGGACACATGCACATGGCATTAAGATAATTTAAATATATGCTAGTTTCTCTCATTTCTTATGAGCATCACAAATTGCAAACAAGTCTGCCTCACCTGTGCATTTTAAGAGCAGCACTACCTGAAAAGCCTCCATAAGAGGATGTTGTGGTAGCAAAAGATGAAGCTGCATGTTCTGTCTTACAGCCCAGTTTCTGTCTGATGACATGCAAATCCGTTCTGGATCTAATAAGAAAAAGTAACTCAAGATTTACAGAGATTAAAATTCTTTGAACAATTTTTTCCTGGGGTTAACATGTCAAATAAATATCATTAAATATTTATATAGCACCAGCATCTTTGCACTAAAGCAGTGCCCTTGTGCCAGCCAGCACATGGACTTCCAGAAAATGACATTTCTTCCCCAATGCATGCACTCTACCAGTTGCAGCACCACAGATTTACCCCAAGCAGAAACCCCAGCCTCACAGCAGACCCCCAGCCATGGTCCCACTGCCACTCACACCCATGGCTGCCACAGCATATCTTTTTCAAGCAAGCTGTAAGTTTCCATCCTTGCTATGGGCAAATCTGCAAGAGGAGGAGTGCTCAGGGTTGGGAAACTTCCAGATTCCTCCAGTTTTCCACGCTGGCTCCTGCAGCCAGCTGGTGAAGCCATTGCACCATCCCCATCTATGCTGTTAGCAGGCAGGTCTTGCTGGGGCTTTGCACCCAGGGAAGCACTGTGTACCCCTCCTTCTGCCTTCACCACATTAAGGATGCTCAGGAAGAATCTTCTGCGGGGTAAAAGGAGCTGCAGGAGAGGACTGGGGCCCAAGCAGCTGACAGGACCTACAGAGATCTGCACTGGCCAGCGCTCAGGCACAGAAGAGAAGCTGAGTCCCAGAGGATTTCTGGGAGGAGCTCAGCTCCTTGGGCTGCCGGCAGTTGGGACAGCTGGACATACACAAATCCTGCCTGTCCACCAGCTTCTCCCCCTGCAAAGGGCACAAGGGCCCCTTTCAGCCCTGGATCTGGGAAGGAAAGGTCAGGGAGCCACTTTTGTGTGCAAGCCCCATCCTCCCCAGCTGCACAAGAGACCAAGCATCTCCCTGAGGGGCTCCACCAAGCAAAGAGAAAGCAGAGTCACCATCGCCCCAACGCAGGCTCCTGGAGCACCCCTTTGCTGGGCTGTTTCCTTGCAAGTCACGCACTTGGCTCCACAGCTCAGACACAGGGAGAGAGGGGCCAGGAGAAGGGAGCCAGCACAGCCTGTTTTCCAGCTGCACAGCCAAGGAATTTCTTTTGTGTGGAGCAGGGTTTGGCACATTCCAGTGCAGAGCAGCTCCCGCGCTGCCGGGACAGGGGCTGTCCTGGCACTGGCAGCGTGCCCCCGGCACAGCCAGCTCCAGGGACAGGGAGGTGGTCACAAGGATTTAAAGGGCTGGGCCATGCTCAGAGGAGTGTGGCAGAACACGGTGCATGTGCAGAGCAACACTGGGCATGATCACAGTGACTGATCCATCCAGCAAAACACTGATGCGTCCTGGACATAACAGAGGTTGGGGTTTCTAGAGACCCCAAACCAGCTTACTCTTTAAAAAAAAAAAAAAAAAGCATACAGAAAGTCATAGCCCTGGCATTTTCCACATGGATTAACTTGGCAAACTCCATGACATTTGGCACTGATGGTAGCTCTAATATGGCCTGATGTATTTTGATGTTCTAACTCCAATCAGCCAGTGTGTGCTCTAGGACGGCATTACCTGCAGGAGCAGGTGGCCTGAGGACAGGGATGGACCATGCTCACACATTCATCTTCCCCAGGGGCAGAAAAAACAGGGCTGTGTTGCTGAAAGGCTGCAAAAAGAAGGACTCTGCAGGCTAAGGCCTCTTCAGAGCCAGAAGCTTCTGGCATGGTGTAGGGCAGTGAGATGGGAGTTCTGCACTAAGCAGTGTGTGTGCTCTCCTGCAAATCCTCCTTCCACACTGAGCCAGCCCTGTGACTCGGAGCAGACTTCAGACAGTGACACAGAGGCCCACTGGGAAAAGGAGGGGTGAAAATAAAAATGAAAACAGAAACATTCTATCACCCTTGCAGTGCTGTTACTGTGCTCCAGTGGGTACAGACCATGGACACAAGGCAGGCCAGTGTGTGCCAGCTGTGCACAGCCACAGCGAACACACAGCCAGACACAATGTCCATGCTGGGACAGAGACATTCTGACAGAGACAAACCTACACTCCAAGGGGAAGCAGGGGGAGGTAGTCAAGGGGTGTGTGTGTGTGTGTGTGTGTGTGTGTGTGTGTGTGTGTAAATAATTAATGCAAATTCCTAGTTTAGGTAAACACATCGAGAGGAAGGCTCGCTCTGGCACGGGGAATTAATATCCTGTTAAACCAGTTGAAGAGGTCACCAGTAAACAAGCTACACTCCCAACACTCCCTCGTGCCAGGACTGATAGGACACCAAGACAAATGGCTGAGAGCAGGGAGCTGGGGACGCTGCAGCATCTGTCTGCCAGTGTGCAGATGCAGCTAGCTCGTGTTCTCTGCAGCCACAGTCTCTCCACAGCATTTCTGCACTAACAGCAACAGCCCTGGGCTTTGGGAAAGCTGCCTCACTGCCTTCACATAGCCCCAGGGAGGACTGGCCGGCACACAAAAGCAGCCAGGGGTGTTGGGCTAATGTCAGGTTGGTCAAGGTCACAGCCCTGCTTGGGACCCCTGCCTCCAGCTGGGGATCATTTAGAGAGCGGGTTGTATAAATTAAGAGATGAGAAAGGAGATGTACACTGGCTCCTTCAGTATGGGGGCCTACCTGCTCCAGGGAGTCCACCCTTGGCACATGCCTGTGCTGCTGCTGGCATAGACACTCCAGCACAAAGACTTTAAAAGGACATGTTGGGACTGAAGGTCTCCAGATGATGCTCCAACAGCAAAAGAGGAAAAAAAGGACAGAATAAAATTGCTCAGGACACAGCATTCAACTTCATCCTCAATGGAAAGCCTGAAGCACAGAGGAGCTGCTGGCAACTCACCTCTGCAGGCACAGAAGTGGAACTCAGGCTGCAGAGGTGTGAAGAAAAGGTAAGAGCCTCAAGAGAGCAGCAAGGGGAAGCACCAGGGCTGGGACAGCCTTGGGTCAAAACGCACTGAGAGTGAGCCACAGACCACATGTGGAGCTCTGCACCTTGAGGCCTGGGTCTTCTTCTAAGAGTGCAGAGCCTCTGGGATGCTTTCCCTTCCCTTCCCACCAGGAAAACTCAGCTTCTTTCCCAGGAGATCCAGGAACAGAAACCACCAAGGCTGCATATGTTTCCCACGGCCCACAGTGAACAGAACTTAAGGAGAATAGCAAGATAGCTGTGTGTCTTGCACAGAGAAGCTGCATAGTCCTGAAAGACTTCAGCTGCATTTGTCTCAATCCACATGGAGAACTTTATACAGCGCTCAAAATGCCATTTTCTGGTGTCCAGCCCTAAGATAAACCTTGCTCTTAAGTCTTGTGTGAAATGGAACTGCTGGAACAGTGTGTTTCTCAAAAGTGTCAGTGGGTCTAAGCACAAGAAAGGACAGAATTCCCCAAAGGAGCTTGGGTACCTGTGGGTTCTCTCTTAAAGACAGAAAAATTTAGTTTTCCTTCCTGGACACACCTGGGCTGCACTGCACAGAGAGTGCTCGCAGCAGGGCAGGATCCCTTAGCAGGTGCTGGATAGATCAGGTATGGCCTGATCAAGAAGGTGTTACCCCTTGCCCTCAATCAGACGGGGGAATGCTGTTCTCTACAAACACCCAGTGATTGCAGCCCTGGTATCTCCTGCCTAAGCCCTGGAGGAGAAAAACAGCCCAGCTCCCTGGCATTACATGCCATGTGTTTCCACAGAATGCACTGGCCAGTGCCAGGCACCGGCATGGGATCAGGCTCCCGGGAAACCCCACTAAACACAAGGTTGCAAGGACTGCAAGGGACTGCAAGGCAGGGGCTTACCCAGCAGAGCCTGGAAGAGTTCACTTTGGAAGATGTGCGAAACTTTTCCAATGGAAGCTTTTAACTCCTGCTCCTCCGGGGACTGCAGGGTGCTTTGGTATCTGGTCAGAATTTCCACTGCCCGTTCAGTGTCTGCAGAGATGACACAGGAGTAACAAGGCATTAACATTGCAGGATGCTAAGGGAAGGCTCGAGTGCAGCCTGGGATTATGCCTCAAGCTGCCTTCCAGTCTGGATTTTTAAAAGTCCAACAGCCACAAAAGCAGCCTTCCTTACACACACCTGGGAAAGCTAACCCCGCTGAGAGCCATTGAGGGCTGGTTGCAGAGACCTGAGCAGGGACTGAAGGAAAAGTTAGTTCTGCCACCAACCCTGAAAATCAGAGGCTAAAATCAGATTGACTCAACTCTGAACCCTGTGACACTGGGCAGCCTGAACACCTCTGCCACCTCCCAGACACAGAAGCCGTTCAGGAGCTGGACAGATTCTGGTTGCACAGGGCTATGAATACTACTGCAGGAACTGCAGCCTCCCACACAGGGCCAGATGGCTGCAGCAAAACTGAGCGTAGGCCCATTCCCGTAGTGCAAACAGCTCAGCTACAGGAGCGGCAAAACTTGGATTTCTACAGGGTGAAGCATAAGAATTGCCCAAAGCAGCAAGCAGGAGACAAATGGGAAAGGAATACAATGCCTTGGGGTCAGAGGAGATGCTGGTGAGGAAGAGAACTGGAAGCTGCCATGAAGCAACATTTTGGTTAATGACAGCTATCAGAAAACCTTGGACCTAAAATAGTGGAGCTGTGATCTCCCTGCCTGGACACCGCCACACTTCTCTGGGCAGACAGCCAGTGCAGCCTCGACCTCAGATGTGACCCATACCTCAGGCAGGTAGTGAGCCCCTGTGGACCTTCAGACTATCCCTGCCCCATCAGTGGATACTTACTTCCCTTTGTCACCCAGGCAGACTGCAGACAAAGAGTGTCTGTGTGAGAAGGCAGGGAAGCTGTCCCGCCACTGCTGGAGACTCATCTTTTAAGCCAGGAACTCATGCAGAAAGGATGTCCCTGCTCATCAGAGGGCTCTTGAGAATTCAGGTCATCAAACAAGGGGGCCTGTGTCTGCTTGGGTATGTTCCATCCGGTATCCCAACTCACCCAGCCTTCTAGCTTCTCCTCGGCTGAAAAGAAAAGGGGGTCCTCCGGCTGGTGCCACTAGCCCACACTGACTCATCGTGGGACCTGAACCAGGGAAAGGAGTCTGGGAAAGCATGAACAGCTCTGACTTGGAGCTGGGCTCCATACTTACTCCAGGAAAAGCAAGGACTTCCTCGATGGCTTTATGGCAATCCTAGCCTTGTGCTATTACTAAGTGTTTCCTTTTCTGCATGGTAAAACAGTGGCTTCAAATACTGCCCAGCATATCATGAGCAGGGGCTGAGATGTCACCGCCTGGTGATTCCTGACCTTATCAGCAGAACTAAAGAAGCAGATGGAGAGCTGGGGGCCACCACACCAGGACACAAAGACTGCTAACCTGGTAAACTTTCCACTGTGCAGCAGGAGTGGCAGGCACCGTGCTGACCTCTGCGCTGCTGGCCACCCGCACCCAGTGACAGCCAGTTGGAGCAGGGGACTGCGGGCTCCCGATCTGGGGAAGTGCTGCGCACCCAGCGTGGCAGGGAGACGGCAAGACCCTTCCTACAGCTCCCAAGAAACAGCACACGGTGTCCAGGGCCCATGTCCATGTGCCTCAAGGTGCACACAAGTTCCACGTACAGAAAATCCCTTCTCGCAGAACCTAAACCCCCATGGCCGCTCTCCTCCCCGCAGCACGCAAAGGATGTGCAAGCAGAGCATCTCCCGGCCACCCACTCTGAGAAACGGCAGCACAACGTGTCCACAGGCCGAGGAGGGCGTGGAGCGAGACCGCCCAGTCGTCGGGTCTTAACTCCCGGGTCGCACGGCCGCCCGTGGTGCGGAGCGAGGGCGGGAGCTGCCCGGCAGGAGCGCGGAGCACCGGGCGCGGTCCCAGCGGGGCAGACACTTGTTGAGCGCGGGGCGCGGTGCTCCGGCGCGGCGGGCAGGGCCGGGGAATGCGTTCCTTACCTTCCCGGCGGATCATCGCTCCGCCGTGGCCGACGGCCGCTCCGCTCCGTGCCAGCCCGCAAGCGGCCGAGCCGCCGCGCCCCGCCCGGGAGCCGCCCCCCGGCCGCCGGCACCGCCTCCGGGAGCGCCCCGCCACCGCCGCTCTGCCCCGCGGCGCGGCCGCTCGGAGCCCGCTGGGCTGCGGGCGGGCTCGGCCTGCGCCCCGCGAGCCGCGCCCGGCTCCGCCTCGCCTCCCTGCCCGCTGCGGAGGGCCCGGCCGCCCGCCCGGCTCCCCGCCGGCACTAGGTGGCACGGAGGCGCCGCGGAGCCAGCCCGCCTCGGGCCGGTACCGTCCGGGCTGCGCCGGCTCCTTCTCCGGGCCGGCAGCGCCGCCGGCAGGGAAAGGTGCGGAAGGGAGGACGCAGGCGTGCCCGCCGCACCCCTTCGAGATCTGTCTGCCGCTCCTCTGCTTTATTGACAAAAAGACAGCAAGTCAAACCGACACGATACCCATCTACTTGCTCAAGGCCCTGCTGCAACGTGAGCAGCAGCAGGAGCGTGAGCACGGTCCTGCCAGACCCTGACACCCACCACCCCCAGTCCTGATCCTTTTCTTTCCCGAGCAACAGGCATTAACTGCTGCATGGAGTGCCAGGACCCTGTCCTGTGAAGATGAAGCCAGCAGCAGCAGGGACAGGATTTGTGTCCAGGATGAGAGGGTGAAGAGCTCGGCATTCCCCTTGTCTTTTGAAAAGCCACTCCACATCCACATCCACCCTATTCCCTTCCTATTCCTCAAGCCATGGGACAGGGCAGCCCCCAGGGGAACAGCCCTTAAGCCAGGTGTCTCATCCCTGGCTGCAGAGCTGCTGACAACAGGCAGAGACAGCCCTTCCCCTCCACCAAAGAATGACCCAAATCCCTGCTCCTGTCCAAACCTCATAGGAGAGGTCTCAGCTCCAGTACTGCTGGATAAATATTCTGCCCCTAGGCCACCCCTGCAAAGCTTTAGTTCCTTGCTACCAGTTGGGCAATGAAAACTCAGTTCCAAGTCTTTTCAGATGAGGGCAGCTGTGCACCATGAAAGGAACCAGGAACACCACAGTAGAAGTGAGGCTCGAAGGAAAGGAGCCTTGCAGCTGGCCTGAGGAGTGCTCCCTGCTTGAGCTGTGCAGGGCTCTGGCTGCCCTTCCCCACAGCTGACACAGGCGTCACTCTTGCATCAAGCTGTTGATCTTTGTGAGCAGCACGTCTGTCTCAGACTCTGAGGAAACAGAGAAAAAAACAGTCATTGTGGGCAGCCGCCATCCCGCATCAACAGGCAAAGTAGCCTGAAAAGCAGGTTTGAGGATATTCGGGAAATGTGGGATTCCCTAGTGCTGTCCCACATGGCTGCTTGTTAAGGGCAGGACCGGAGAAACTCCCTGGGCTGGGATTTCCTTCCCTCCCCCAGCCATGCCAAACCATTCCATCACGTTTGGCTGGAGAAAGCTGCCTGCCTGTCAGGGAGAGTCCCACAGGCAGAGCCTGGCTCCAACAGAGGGAAGCTCCCCTTCCGTGTGCACTCACCCGCTGGCCGTGTTCTGTGGGAACATTTCCTAGGAGATGGAATAGGATCGATGTTAGCATGCAAGTCTGGTCTCACCATTCCCTCCTCTGAGCTGCCAGCTGGAGGCCGTGAGGCCCCTCAGTCCCAGAGGGAACTGCTCTCAGTGCCCGCAGCACTGGAAAAAAGGAGCAGGACCAGGACCTCCCAGCTTCAACCCACCAAGCCCTGGGGTGCAGAGTGGGTTAGCAAGGCATCCAGCAACCTGAGGCAGGGTCCGGGCAGACTTTTAGCTGCAGCTTGGAGATAAAAGCTGCCCCCACACTCTTCTGTCTTACTTAGCCAGACACGAGAGGACCCCCCCAGGATCTGAGTCCAGAGAGGAGTGGCAGCAGGTTTGGGTCTGCATCAGCCACCCAGGGCACACTGCAACCTCCCCCAACAGACCTGCCTCGGGAGGGGAAAGGGATCCGACCTACTTCATCAAGACAAAAGCCCAGATGATGATAAGGAAGGAAACGCAGTCTACAACGATCCAGATCATGAAGTATGTGCTGCTTGGCTGCAAGGCAACGAGACAAGCCACTGAACGCCAGTTGGGGTGGTGTGCTGTGCCACCAGTTCCTCCTACAGGGTCGCATGCTCCCATGCCAGTACAGCAGTGAGCAGAAGTCACCCTCCAGGCAGCTGCACAGGGCTGCTGCAGAAAGGGACCCACAAGTGTCTAGGACACAGGGCTGTGGGCAGGGTGAAGGATGGAGGGGTCACTTACCAGCAGCCAGATGGGGTGTTTCATCTCCTTCAGCACCTGGCAGGCGTTGGTGGTGACAGAGCTCACCCCTGAACACCACAGCACGGAGAAGAGCCAGGGCTGGTTCACCACATACAAGTTGACAGAGATGTTCTCCCGGCGGTACTGCCTGCATGGGGACAGCCATGATCAGAGTAGCAGACAGCAGGGCACCACCACACTCTGCACAGCCAGAGGGGGCTGTATACTTGGGATATGATCCAGCATTTGCAGCCACATGGAACAACTATCTGGAGATCCAGACTGAGGGCAGATTTGCTGGCAGGGCAGAGGACTGCAGCCAGCTGCATCCTCTGCACCAGCCCCGGCTGATAGGGACACTTGTTCACAAGGCACACTCCCAGCTCTTCCCAGAAGCACACCAGTACTCAGCACCCTCACCTCTGCTGCCTCCCCTGGGACAGTCCTGAGACCCTCACAGCTCCCAGGCACTTGGACAAAGCGTTTTCACCTGATCTCCTCAGAGCTCATGTCCTGGTAGGGAAGATTGATGTGCAGTACTGCCTCCTTCTCATTCTCAGATTTCTTCCGGCCATAGACATGCTGGACACCTGGGGCCTGCTGTTTGACATCTTCCCTGAACCCATCTGGAAGCCAGAGGACCTAGGTGAGAGCCAGAGAGCATGTGCAGAGGAGAGCTGCTCCAGAGAGTGGACTCTCTTCCAATATTCCCTCACAGGTCCAGGCCCACATGGCCTGCTTAGACAGCTGCTTCCTGCCCCCAGTCTCCACACTCAGCTCTTCCATGAGGATCTCAGCCAGGACAGTCTCCTAAGAGCTTGCCCCAGCCAGAAAGTAAGCAGAGGTCCCACTGAAGGGAGAAAGCAGTTCTAGCTTAAGAAATCTACAACAGTTAAGTCCTCTTTGGGTTCTTGAATGGCTCAAGAAGTGAATTCATTTATCCCCAGCTCTGCAGCAAGAATGCACCTTGGATCACCACTATAGAAGAAGTCATTTTTATGTCCCCTCCTGCTCTGCATTCCCAAAAGGCCAAGAAACGTGATTTGAGTGCTGATTTGTTCCCTGAGGCAGCACATATCCTGTGCTGCAGGGGTTGGATGAAGCATAAAGGAACACAGGAGAGTTCAGCAGGAGTCCAAGAGCTGCAGGGAGATGTGTGGTGGAGTGTGGGGAGGTGAAAGCCTCAGCATTGTATTCCTGCTCATGCTGGAATACTGCTCATGCTCCTCCCTTGCCTGAGTCATTGCTTACACACCAGGCTGGCCAGTGCTGGGAAACCAAAGTATTTGGAGGGGTCTGAAGCCATAGGCATTAAACCCTAATTATTGGCAACTTCTCCCAGCAGAAAACCCCACACCTGGGCAGGGCTGCCCAGCAGGGATTACGTATGGGGATGGGGTGTATGGGGTGTCAGGGATGGTCAGTGCAGCTGGCAGGGCGTCTCCCACCACAGCAGGGGTGTGACAGCAAGGCCTGGCAGGGGTGGGGAGGTGACCAGCTCACCTGCTGCAGCGGGATGCCTGACTGTAAAATCACTCCTAGGGTGACATTGACAAAGTTCTGGTAGTCACTGTGGTTCTCAGGCCGAAGGTCAAACATGATGGAGATGTTGCTCTGCTTGGCTGCCTCTAGAGCCTGTTCCAGGGATGGGATCCTCTGTTCAGCTGCCTCCTTGCGATCTCCAGGAGAAAGACTCTGCACAGTGGGAAATGGCCTCCGCTGCAAGGGTGAGATGGGGGCAGTCATCACAGGCAGACCACCTGTCAGCTTCCACATCCCAAACTGGTGCCTGGGGGACTCCCAGTCTCTGATTCTCAGTTTGTGACACTCGTCTCTCCACATGCTCTCCAGTGCAGACAGGCACAGGGAACCTCCCTATGCACATCCATGGACCTGCACCCTTCTCCCCACTAATAGCAGAATTCAAGAAGCCCCAACACCTGTGGGCATTTAAAGCTGCTCAGCAGTAGTTAGTCACCTTTTGGGAAGAGTCTGGCCACAGCTGCCTTCAAGCCCAGGCAGGTTGTGCAGCTCAGAGCAAATATGAGACATCCCCTCTCAAAGCAGCCTCCTCCATGACTCAGCTGAGGAGTCAGAACAAACCGCAGCTTGGGGCCTAACTGCACCCAAGGGATTTGTGCAGGCTTCTGGACCCTGTCCATGTGTCTGCTAAGACCAGGGCAGGGCTAATGCTTCACTCAAAAAACCAACCACCCTAAGGACATTCCAGACCTCCAGAAACCAGCTGCCAGCATCCAGCTGCTGGAGGTCTGTCCAGTTGAAGGCAGTGCTGTTCAGGGCAGCCCTCTCAGGGAACACAGCCTGCACGTTGGTGGTCCTGGTGAGTTCCTCGTCATGCATGAGGAATGGGACCCCATCAGCACTGGCAAAAGAACACAGAGGAAAGCCATATGTTGTAAGCTGTTTGTCTCCTATCCCTGCCTTAGCATTTCTACCCCCTCCCAGCCACCTGCCAGAGTAACCCTCATCCTTATTCTACTTGTGGCCCTTTACACAAAAATGTGCACCTAAAGACCAAGCCACCAACCAAGTAGTTCCTTGCTCTCAGAAACACCTGTCCAAATAACAGGATTACATGAGAGGAACTGGAGCCAGGGTCTGTTTTCCAAGCAGTACCCCTTCCCTGATTGAGCCTCCCTTC